AACAATTTTTTCTTCAATTTAAGATGTTCTCAAGCTCTCTAGAACGTTTCATAACGGAACTATGCTCAAAACAAAATGAGCAAAAAAGGTAACGCTATGACATCTCTGCAAGCGAAGTTACGTGGACAAGCCGCTAATGCTCAAAGCTTGTGAAAATCGAGAGCTGACAGAAAATCTCTCAAACCATGTAAAAATCTGATTATTCCTGAAAAGTAATACAGATTCTGAAACAGGAGATGTCCACGGATTTTTCTATCACTGAAACTCAATTTTTATTTTTTAGTTAAAAATAAACAAGTTTCTGATGAGGAAACCTTAAAAAGACTTGAGTGAAAATAAATGTATACACATGTATGTTGACATAAGCATTAACCATCACAACATATAAGAGCATACCGTATACTACATCACTATGCAAACTTCATCATGGCAAATATTTGACTAAAAAATAATAAAATAATTTTTTTCTTCCATTAACTTTCGTCATTGAATTCAACGAGCTGCGTCGCCTTCGAACAGTTTATGAGAAATTGAAACGTAACTGACTTTTTATCGGAGAAAATCAGATGCTGGGCGTGGCAGTTGCTACAGAACGTATAAAAAGTCGAATCTCTCGGTTACCTTCATTTTCAAAATTATCATATGTTAATAATTGTTGATCTCGTACAGATCTTTGTATTTGAAACCTTTATGATTACTTTTTGATAGTTTTGCTTCCTTCTCATTTTATTTGTTACGCTTACTAATTTATGCAATATGGAAATAACGATGCTTGTATCTCGCTCTATATTAATTCAAGAAGTAAAAGAACTGAAGTGAGTACTTTGAAGGATGAAAACTTGCAAACAATTCAGTGTGTATTAGGGTGAGATAAAGTGAGGATGATTAGACAAGAGAATAGATAGTATGTCAGATATATAGTCAATCCAATGGTGTATCAGCAATAATTGTTACACCTTGAGATTTGAACCAATTTTTTTCTTCTTTTGTATTTGCACACCACACAGCTACGATAATATCATTCTCTCGATATTTGTTGATAACGTTTCCAGATATACCATCTTTTTGTATTAAAATAATGTTAGCACCGACAAACCTCAATGCTAATGGTGTTGCAAATAATTGACAGATATTATCTATTACCAGTTTAAAAAATATATTGTATTTCACAAACGCAGGTAACGGTTTTCCTAGGTCATCTGTTACTCGTATTAAACCATCGGTTGTCTGTTCAAGATAGACAAGAGCAGTTATTATTCGTGGATTCAACAATCTCAGGTAATAGAGACTTATAGGTAAAAATGATGCACAACAACTACGTTCGTATAAAAATGGATATTGACGATAGAATTTATCAATAATCGATGCCATTAATTTTAAATGTTTGACTTCTTTTATGTCGATCACTACCTTTAACTGTGTCCCTTGAAGAAATTGAATTGCTTCTTCTAGTGTAAGAATACGTTCAGTTTTATACAAATCATTCTTTTCCATATCAGTCTTAACTATTTTACGTTTAAATAAAAATGTTTTTAGTTCAGCACATGTATAATCCGATACTTTCCCGTGACAATTATCAAATATTTGATGTAACCATGTATCATGAATAACCATTGGAATATGGTCTTTTGATAACTGAGTATCAAGTTCAATACCGTCTATTGATGAACTCATCGAAGCCCATTTGAAAGCAGCAAGAGAATTCTCGGGAAAATCATTATTGTCATCTTGCAGTGATGGTTGACCACCCCGATGTGCAACAGTTAAATTTTTAAATACATAATGACCTTGAGTTGATGGTAATTTGTAATAATTGTAAACAAGCAGTAAGATAACTACAACAATCATGGTAATAAACAAAAATGAAATTGATCTAATGAATATGATCATTAGTAAGCATAAGATGACAAATGTGATACCATTCACAGAAAAATAGATTATTCTAGAGAGTAGTTCGTTTGACACCATCTGCTCTGATTTTTCTAGAAGTAACAAAATACTCATGCATAAAGGTTCTTATCAATTGAAAAGCTGATAATAACAAAGTACACAAAATTTAATCAAGCAAAATTATGAAGCACTGCCACCTAGTAATTCAGAAGTTCACATAAACTCATATTGCTGAGCTGCTATATAACCTTTTATTTGTGTCTGTGTAGCAGAAAACGTTTAATTTTTTTAACGCAACGGAAATTAATAAACTATTGTTCAATTTGAGAAGAAAAGAAAAATGTCACTACAGTAAAACATTGTTTTGAAAGCATTTTTAAGAAGAAGAGAGACAGACTTCGCTAAAAGTTCATAGATAAATGCGTAAAACGCGTCCAACAAAAGCGACTGAAAAAATTAATAAAATATCTTTTTCTGGTTCGACTGAAGGTTTTAGTTTATTCTTTCGAAATTGTATCAGTGAGAACTTTCAATGGTACAATCTCAGGATGTTGGGATGATTCAATGTTTAAATTAAGCGTAGTATTAAGCCACCATAGAATATGTTTAAATAGACTTTCTTTCTCTGGTTCATTATGTAATTCATGATCAAAACCTTCCCATTCTTTATATGTTTTTGGCCCTTTTGCTTTGTTAGCCCATGCACGTATACGTTCGGCGGGTGTGGTTGTATCTACACTACCTTGTTGAATAAGTGTTGGTACAGGAAAATCAATTATGGCACTTTCAAATTCATAACCTAATTGTAAAAACATTGAAACTGTACCTGCTGGCCAGCGATCATGAACCAGTGGATCGGTTCGATATTTTTCGACTACATCCTTATCCGTTGAGTATTCTCTTTTATCCTTATTACCACCGAGTGGTAAACGAAAATGTGGCGCTAAATAGCCAAATGTTTTCACTAGTAAATACTGAATTGCGCTTGGCCGTTGTGCTATCGTAATTGCTGGTGTCGATAATATCATGGCTTGGTAAAGTAAAGATTTTGATTTCCGTCGCTGAATGTGCGATAACTGCGTGATGCAACCAGTCCCATGACCATAAATAATAAGTGGAACATCAGGATAATATTTTGACTCACGCACTTTTCCAATAGCTGCTTCCAAATCATCCATCACTGCATTTAAACATGGCACATAACCACGTTCGCCGCCCGAGCGGCCACTACCACGTGTGTCATATGCAACAAATGCTATATTATGTTTATTAAAAATTTCGGCAACATGTCCATAGCGACCACTATGTTCCCCAAAACCATGCACAATTAGAATGACAGCTTTCGCATTAGAGCAGCGCCAATTTCTTCCAAATAACTTTAGCTTACCTGTTACTTTATCTTCGTAATTTGAAAAAAATTCGAATTCTTCAACATTCATATCTATGCGTTAATCTGAAAAGAGGGAAAACAAACTTTACTTATCCTTAGCTGCAGTACCCGACGTTCTTTGATATATGAAAAGAAATTCTCTTGGATTAAAGCTGGCGTTTGGAAAAATGGGTTGCAAAAAACCAGACATAGATAAAGCATGACATTGTTCTTTAAATTGTTATCTTTCCGGAATGTTTTAGCAGTTTGAAATAAGTTTCTATTAAAGAGAACTCTTTGAGTGATCATCTAGAAAAAGGTCAATGTCTCCGAGCTACTTCACAGCTTGTCCAGTTAACTCTGTTACCAAAGTGAAATTCCGTTAAGATTCTTTTGCATTTTGTTTAACTTATAATTTCCGAACGGTAAGAGCTCTGTGACGTTTCAGACTAAAGAGAAAAGTATGCTAAAGATGTTCTTGCAGTCTACATGGTCTTTCGTTCTAAAGCTATGATGAAAATACAAATACTTACTTTTCAATAAACTGCGGAAACATCTTTAGCACACCTTTCTCTTTATTCTGAAATGTTCCAAAGCTCTGAGCGTCTCGCCGTTCGAAAATCATGCAAGAAACAAAGTTTAAATAAGTGTAACGGAGTTTCACTCTGGTATTTGAGTTAGCTAGACAAGCCGTTCTGTCTCAATTACGCCATACGGACATCATCTATACGATTCTTTGTAGGTACAAACTACCCTAGTTATTTTTATCTGAAGATTTTTTCTTGTTTTGAAAATCTTCAACAAATGCAAAACAAACAATTCTCGAATCCTTGAGAAAAATACGTTTATTTCCACAATTTTGATTGTTTTCAAGTAGCGCAAGTAAATGTGTTAAAAGCTTTATTTAAATTAAAAAAAAGCTCTATTTGTAGTGTTGTACGCGGGCTTTTTCTAAGAANCGCCATACAGATATCATCTATACGATTCTTTGTAGGTACAAACTACCCTAGTTGTTTTTGTCTGAAGATTTTTTCTTGTTTTGAAAATCTTCAACAAATGCAAAACAAACAATTCTCGAATCCTTGACAAAAATGCGTTTATTTCCACAATTTTGATTGTTTTCAAGTAGCGCAAGTAAATATGTTGAAAGCTTTATTGTACGCAGGCTTTTCTTAAGAAGAAAAAATGAAAAGAACAATTGGTTTCTTTGGCTACTCAAGTTTCTTGTCTATAAAAAATTCTTCTAGTGAGCTACGAAAGAAATGGCAAAAATTCAGCCCGCTCCAGACATCAACAGCTTCAGTTAATACATGACTACGCACATAATGGGCAACAAGCGCTATATTATGTTTATTAAAAATACGACAACGTATACGAAGCAACCATGAAAAAAATTCGAATTCTCCAACACTCACTCATAGCTGCATGTTAATCTGAAAAGAAGGAAGACAAATTGTACTTATCCTCAGCTATAGTACTCGACGTTCTTTGATATTTGAGTAGAAATTTCCAAAATACGCTGGTCAAAAGTTTTTTTTCCTCATAAGACGAGATATGCATTTAAGAAACACTTAAGACTCATTAAGAATCATCGGGTGATTGAAAGTTGATGATCTCAGAATCGAATGAGACTTTCGGGATATGTTAACCCTGAATCGTAGATACGTTTTTTTATAAAAAGAAGAGTTAAAAAAAGTTGTGTTGGATTAAAAGCTGACTTTTTGGAAAAATGAGTTGTAAAAAATCAGACATAGATAAAGCATGACACTGTTCTTTAAATTGTTATCTCTCCGGAATGTTTTAGCAGTTTGAAATAAGTTTCTGTCAAAGAGAACTCTTTGAGTAATCATCTAGAAAAAGGTCAATGTCTCCGAGCTACTTCACGGCTTACCCAGTTAACTCTGTTACCAAAGTGAAATTCCGTTAAGAGTTTTTTGCATTTTGTTCAGCAACAGCAAGCGCTACATTATATTTTGTAGAACTCCCTCACAACCTATTAAAATATCGTACACAACCTCTTGCCGTGGTAATCGCAACCTGTTAGAAAGACGCACACAACTTCTTATGTTGGTGATGAAAATTTCTTAGATCGGTTCGAATGACTGCTACGTGCTACATTGCCAAGGTTTCTTAGAATGATTCACTTTAACTTTTATTATCATATACTCTAGGTTACAACCAAAGATAAATGTTTCGGTAGAAAAAAATAATTTCTTTTTTCAGACTACACGTCTCAGTGTTGGGAGTTCTCTCCTTAGGTACCAGCCTGCCAAGGTTTATTAAACATTTCGGCCACGTGTCCATAGCGACCACTATATTCCCCAAAACCATGCACAATTAGAATGACAGCTTTCGCATTAGAGCAGCGCCAATTTCTTCCAAATAACTTTAGCTTACCTGTTACTTTATCCTCGTAATTTGAAAAAAATTCGAATTCTTCAACATTCATATCTATGCGTTAATCTGAAAAGAGGGAAAACAAACTTTAGCTATCCTTAGCTATAGTACTCGACGTTCTTTGATATTTGAGAAACAAAGTACAAATATTCGTAACGGAGTTTTACTCTCGTATTAGAGTTAGCTGGACAAGCCGTTCATGTCTCAATTACACCATACAGATATCATCTATACAATTCTTTGTAGGTACAAACTACCCTAGTTATTTTTATCTGAAGATTTTTTCTTGTTTTGAAAATCTTCAACAAATGCAAAACAAACAATTCTCGAATCCTTGAGAAAAATACGTTTATTTCCACAATTTTGATTGTTTTCAAGTAGCGCAAGTAAATGTGTTAAAAGCTTTATTTAAATTAAAAAAAAGCTCTATTTGTAGTGTTGTACGCGGGCTTTTTCTAAGAAGAGAAAATGAAAAGAACAATAGGTTTCTTTAGCTAAAAATTCAGTCCTCAAAACATCAACAGCTTCGGCTCATACATGACTACGCTTATCGTACACAACAAGAGCCACATTATGTTTTGTTGAACTGTCTCACTAACTTCGAAGAAGAGAGAGTAACAATACCCCGAAACCGCTGTTTTTGAGATAAATTTGAGCCCTTGCCCGTCCTGAAAGACACAACCTGTTAAATGCTTCACATAACCTCTCAGAAAGGCACACAGAACCTCCTAAAGGGGTAGTCATAATCTCTTAGACGAATGCACACACCTCTTAGATAGACGGCACAACTGCTGGCATTGGTGATGAAAATTTCTAAGCTCGGTTAGAATGACGGTTACGTGCTACACTGCCACGGTTTCTTAGAATGATTCACTTTAACTTCCACTATCATATACTGTGTTTCGTTAGAAAAAAAATCTCATCCAGTTCTTTAAATTTCATTAGTATATTAAACTTTTATTTCAGTTTAGAACTAATTTTCTTTTTAAGACTACGCGTCTCAGTATTGGGAGTTCCACCTTTTAGCACCTTTACGTGCTACCCTGCAAAGCTTTATCAAAAATTTGCGCTGCGTGTGCAGAGCGACCGCTATATTCACCAAAATTATGGACCATTACAATGAGAGCTTTCCCATTGGAGCAGCGCCAATTTCTTCCAAATAACTTTAACTTACCTGTTACTTTATCCTCGTAATTTGAAAAAAATTCAAATTGTTCAACATTCATGAAAAGATGGAAAACAAACTTTAGCTATCCTCAGCTATAGTACTCAACGTTCTTTGATATTTGAGTAGAAATTTCACCAATATATGCTGGTTAAAAGTGTTTTTAAAAATTCATTCGGCATGTCTTTTCGCCCGAAAAATCTATTTAATTTTATTTCTGTCTGAATGAATCCGATATAAGTTTTTCTAAAACACTAACTTAAATTTCTTTTTTCTCCAAATATAAATAAAATCCATCTAAATAGATTTTCACCAAAACCGAAAACCAGATTCATTGGGATAGAAATGAATTTAAATAGATCTTTCGCACAAAAAGTTATGCAGAATGAATCTGAATGAATTTCTTTAAAAATTAATCTAAACAGATTTTATAAAACGAATTTTTAAACAGTGGATTTAAGTGGATTTCTCTTTGAAACAAAATCGATTTAAATTAATTTTCCCATCGAAAAACAAAATAAATCCACACAGATGGCTCATTTCTTTAAGAATTACCGCAATGGACGGCAACAGAGTCACCTGGACAACCCGTTCATGTCTCAATTACGCCATACAGATATCATCTATACGATTCTTTGTAGGTACAAACTACCCTAGTTGTTTTTGTCTGAAGATTTTTTCTTGTTTTGAAAATCTTCAACAAATGCAAAACAAACAATTCTCGAATCCTTGAGAAAAATACGTTTATTTCCACAATTTCGATTGTTTTCAAGTAGCGCAAGTAAATGTGTTGAAAGATTTATTTAAAATTAAATTAAATTGTATTTGCAGTGTTGTACGCGGGCTT